AAAAAAATAGTTTTGCCCCTGTGGGGAGAAATATATTCAGGAAACAAATAGAGAATGAATCCAAGCTGTATCACTTTATTTATGCATTTGTATTGTATATTTTTTTATTCTGAAAGGACATGGAATGATTGGTATGTACCATTGGTCAATTTTCTCAGTTTTCTGCCAGAGCTGAGGTTCTTATACTGATCCGGGCTGTGGATTGTTTATAATTTATTCAACAAATCACTAGCTGGTGAATTTTTGCAACTCGTTAAGCCATAACCTATGGCTTTTCGCAAATCAAAATTGTTGGGTTCACATGGCACACAGTCAAAGCTAAGCAAACCACAGTATGATTTATCACATCATGATTTATCAGATTAGGTTCGCACACTGTGATTGATCATGTGACTAATGTAGCCTTGAGGTAGCCACATGTTGTAGGAATCCACCCGTAGTGAATAACCCAACCACATAAAGATAACTGCAACATACATTTTGTCAAGTTTTTTTTTTAGTAAGGGAAAATGTCATCTTATTCCTTCATGAAAATTGTCTAATGTAAAAAGCTGCACACGGCAGTAATTAGAAACCTTTCAACACTGTTGAAGGAGTAATACGATGCTTTGTCTTTGAGGAAGATGCTGTAGAAACACATTAAGAAAGTTAATCTTTGCAGCTCTTTCTTTCCTATGTACATACAAGCAAGTGGCCCATGTCTAATGTCTGAAGCTGATTATGAAGAAAGTCTTTCTTTTAAATGCACCTATTATCTAAATAGTTTGGATATAATCCAGTTAAAGTTAAGTGCTTTCAGGTTTTTATGAACCTCGGTGAAAGAGTTATGTATGTCCTTAAATCAGTGGAACTTGCAAAGTACTTAAATTTGGCTGGCTAATCAAACCACAAAAAAACCTGTTTTAGTAGCTTATAAGAATAGGAATCCTCACATGCATTTTAGTGTAAACTTTTGAAACTAGAAGTATAAATGAAATTTTAAAATATCAAGCATGCTTAATTCCAGAATCATGATCTCTCCTTTGAAGCTATAGCATTATTTTATATGCAAACATTCCTTTCTTTAACTTTTGGTCCAGACAACCATTTGTTTTTATTTGGTTATAAGCCAGCTAGAGTCACCTCTAGGTGAGATGGGCAATATAGAAATTTAACAAATAAATAAATGTGTATTGAAATTTCAAGGATATTCACGCCAGTTTTATTTGCAAAGTTGTGACTGCTACAGTGTTATTGTAGTCAGCCATGTCAGGTGATTGTGATTTCCAACACTCTCTCCCAGCTTCCCAAGATCAATGGGAAAGCCAGCTGGAAATCACTTTTGTTCTCATAGCTTTTTTACCCACCCATGGTCATTCTGTTTATCTGTTTAGGTAAATTGGTTTTCTAGCATATATTTCTTTAGATTTGCATTAAATGTATTGTCCTGAAAATAGGACCCAGTTTCTGAAATTAATATAACTTGAATATAATACCTGGAGAAGATTCTGCAGATTCTGCACTATTTTAATTGAAATGTGTTTTATACCAAAGCATATGGGAGGAACCTTGTTGCTTTAATGTGTCCAGAGTAAAGCTTTATCCAACTTAAAGGAATTTTATTTTACCAGTTCTATGGATTTTAGCCAGTTCATTTAACTGAATTTCCATATGAATAAAAAGGATGACACTTTATTTCATCATCTGAGGGGATAAATGGGGAACTCATCAGTTTTGAAGATGACACCAAGCTGGCAGGAATAGCCAACACTCCGGAAGATAGGCTTAAGATTCAGAAGGATCTTGACAAACTTGAACATTGGGCACTATCTAATAAAATGAAATTCAAAGGCGAAAAAAGTAAGGTTCTACATTTAGACAAGAAAAACAAAAAGCACAGGTGCAGTATAAGTGGTACCTCACTCAATAGTAGTAACTGTGAGAGGGATCTTGAGATCCTAGTAGGCAACCATTTAAATATGAGCCAGCAGTGTGCATCAGTTGCCAAAAAGCCAACACAGTTCTAGCTGCATAAACA